TCTTAAAAAGTTAAACATACATCTACCATATGACTCTGCCATTCCAGTTCTAGGATTTACCCAAGAAAAATAAAAGCATGAGTCCACACAAAGACTTGCACATGAATATTCATAGCAGTTTTATTTAATTAATTTTTTTTAGAGACGAGATCTTGTTCTGTCACCCAGGCGGGAATGCAATGGCATGATCAGAGCTCACTGCAGGCTCAAACTCCCAGACTCAAGTGATCTTCCCACCTCAGCCTCCTAAGTAGCTGGGACTACAGGCATGAGCCACCGTCCCTAGCTAATTTTTTATTTTTATTTTTTTAGAGACGGGGTCATGCTATATTGTCCAGGCTGGTCTCAAACTCCTGGCCTCAAGCTATCCTCCCATCTCAGTCTCCCAAAGTTCTGGGATTACTGGTGTGAGCCACTGCACCTGGCCCATTTCTAATTTGGTTTCATTGCTTTCTGATTGTTGAAGTTTCTTTATAAACTGGAAACAATCCAGCTGTACATCAACAAGTCCACGGGTCAACAAATTGTGGTGGAATAATATTTGGCAATAAAAAAGGAATGAGCTGTTATTCATACATGCAACAACATGAACAAATCTCAAAATAATTATCCTTGGTGAAATTAATTCTGTTATAAGCCAGAGAAGAAGGAGTACACACTGTGTAATTCCATTTGTATAAACTTTTAGAAAATGCAGACTAATTTATAGGGACAGAAAGCAGGTCAGTGGTTGCCTGGGGATGGGTGGGGGTGAGGGGTATAGCAGAGTGACTACAAAGAGTTTCTAGGAAACTTTTGGGGGTGATGGATATGTTCACTGTCTTGATTGTGGTGATGGTTTCATAGGTGTATACCTATGTAAAAATGTATCAAATTGTACACTTTATGTGCAGTTTATTGTATGTCAATAAAGCTGTTTAAAAGAGAAAAGTATAGTGCCAGGCCCATTACACTCTGCCTTGAGGATTTCCAGGTGAAGGAGTAACTGGTCAGCCCTCCCCAGAGACTGCCCCTTCTCCTGTGGTTTGTGGTACCAGTGGGGCCAAGGCCCACACTCCATCCTCGTGGACCATTTTTCTTTCCACAACATCTCCCATCTTTGCTGCTGGAACATTTGTTCAGTTAGTGATGTAACCCGCTCTGGATGCGGCCTCTTTTAGGAAACCCTCAAAACCTACATCTTTCCCTGAGCTTCTGACGGCAGCATCCTCATGGATGGGCACTAGCTAAACTGGAGGACCTCTGCATACACTGGTCCCCTCCTCTCCATCAGACTTCACGAACTGCCTTGAATTGTAAGTTCTCCAGTGCTCGCCTCATCTTTAGTAGATCGCAACCCAATACGTTTCCTTTTTGTCATGGCTACTGGGAAGTTCACAGTCAAGGCTGGTGTCCAACTGCGTGATTAACTCATCCTAGGTGCCTATTATTAGGTAGTTTCCTGTGCCTTTTAGCTGGTGTTTGTTCTTTCTATTTATTTTTAACGTATCTATCTCATAGTGTGTTCCATTTTATGAAGTCATCTCAGATTTTTTTCACAAATGGGTGGGGTTTAAATCATATTATTTTTAAAAAAGTTTCCCCTGTACCCTCCATGAGGTCAGGGAGCATGTCCTGCATATTATCCCTGTGTCCCGCTGTGTATCTGCATTGCATGGGATAAATGTTCATTAAAAAGATGTTAAATATATTAGGTAATTCTTAATAATTACACCAGGGACTGTCCCAAGGAAAAGTTCTGTAAAAAAACTGAGGGACCACCTGATGCTATGATTCACCACTTTTCTATTTCCTGTTTCCCGTGGCATCTGTCTGGCAGTGTCAGTGCGGGTGCTAAGATGCCTACCTATCTGTTTGGTCCCTGGACCCTAGCAAATGCCTAAGAAGCATTTACCCAGTGACTCGCGGGCTATTTTTGCTGCTCCGAGGGGAAATGTGAATTTTAGTCAGAAATGTAGCCTCCAGTGGTGGCATTGTCCTTAGTAACTGTCCCAGGTTGGCTCCCCCACACCCTAGAAGCTCTGCCTGGTGCCTTAGGAATATCTCACTTTCTTGAAGTCAGGGCTCATCTTTAACTTGTGATTCAGTGAGGACAGCTATTCCAAGACGAGAGTGGTTCCCCAGGGACATCTGGCTGCAGCTGAAGTTGCCCATCTCTCCATCTCTCATCCCTCCTAACAAGGTCCACATGATGTGAATTTCAAACTGTCCCAATAGGACCATGCTCAGCCTGGCTAATGAAGCATTTCAGCCACTGGCAAAAAAAAAAAAAAAAAAAAAAAAAGGCAAGGTTATTTAAAACCAAACCATGTCATTTAAGAGTGATGACCTTTTAATGAGCTCCCAAGGAACCCATAAAAGGGCCTGGAGAATAAAACTGGAAAGCCCAAAATAGTCAGAACCTGTAAGCAAGGACCCCTAACCTATTTGCAGTGGAGACACTCCATCCGTTTTCAATTTATGGTCCCCTTTTTGTTCTTTTCCCTGCTGTGATCCAAGGATATGAGAATTTTGATTATACAAAAAAAGGTTAGATCATGCTCTTACAGATCCTCAAAAAGCTTTACTGGATGCCATCCCCAAAATGATGAAGTTTAAAGTTTTGGTTTGGCATTTAGGGACCTAGAGGATCTGGCCTCAATTCTCCTTTTCAATTACTTGCTCCTTGCTGTCTGTCACACATCCTGAGCTCTAGCCATACTGACCAACTCAAAACTACCAAGAGTTGGTAGTTTGCTCATCTTTTCCCCCTGTATGAAAAATCTTTTCTACTCCTATGCTGGCTAGCCCCTACTCCACTTGGTTTACGGAACTCAAATACCTTCCCTAGTGACAATATACTGCACCTGCCTATTGCACACACTGGTGGCATTTTGCTTGTCCTACTCCCATCAGGCCTGGGACCATAGGTAACTCTGCCCATGTCTACCTCCCTACAAGACCCTAAGCAGCCAGAGAATGAACCTGGCTGCATAAGGTTGTATCTCTTAGTGCGCAGCCCGGAGCTTTGATGCAGGAGGCCCTCTGAAATTGGTTGAGGAGTGACTGGCATGCTTTTCTTTTCTTTTTTCTCAATTCAAGTTTTATTAATTGGAAATATGCTGTACATTCATACTCAAAAGGTACAACAGGGTGAAAAGTCACCTTCACTTTGTTCCCTTCTATGCAAAGAACCAATATTATCGGCTTTGTGTGAATCCTTCCAGAGACCTGCACACATATACAGTATATTCTTCTCCCTCCTTTAAAAAATAAATGGGATCATACTGAAACAGCTTTGCAGTTTGCCTTTTCACTTTATTACGTGCACATACACATATTTTAAAAATTGATTTAACTAATTGACTACTGATAGCCTTTGGGTTGTTTTCGTTCTTTTTTTTATTAAAAATAATGCTGCAATGAATAATCTTGTTTATTTGTCATGTTCACATGGGTGAATATTTATGTAGGGAGCATTTCTAGAGGTAGAATTGCTAGGTCAATTGGTGTGGGCACCTTTAATCTTGATCAACAATGTCCAATTATTCTCCATAAATAATGTCCAATTTTACACCCACAAGCAATATGTAGGAATCTCTTTTCCCCCACATTTTTGCTAACACAATCTGTAACCAACTTTTTTTGACAAGTTCCATGAAAAATTTAAAGTTAGACTTCATTTTAAGTTTGTGTGTATGTGTTTAGCAAATTCATGATCATCCCTTGGGTTGAAAATCATCAAAGATATTCCCGGGTGTTGACAACCTAGGGATTTTTTTTTTTTTTCTCAGAGATGGGGTCTTGCTCTGTTGCCCAGGCTAGAGTGCAGTGGCTCAATCATAGATCACTGCAGCCTCCAACTTCTAGCCTCAAGCAATCTTCCCACCTTGGCCTCCCAAAGTGCTGGGAATACAGGCATGAGACACCACGCCTGGCCAATCTAGGGTATCTAACTCCCATGTTCATAGAAAGTTATTTTTGTTTGACCCCAAGCATATTTAAGGAATGAAGTAGAAATATGTCATGAATAATGAGTTGCTTCAACAAAGATATTTTACTTCTGTGGAGTAATCTACAGTTTTAAGACAAATTTTATATACATTAATTTGGGCCAACGGGTACATTCCTGTGTTTTCAACAATTTAAAGCATAACCTGGAGGAGATAGTTCGATGGACACATACTTTGCAGGTTGATATTTAGGATGAGGATTTGAGTTATCTCTGATTATTTTAGGAAGGAGATGCACTACAGAGATCAGAGAACGGTCTCTGAAGAAGGACCATCTGGGTTTGAAATCTATCCCTAACACTTTTAGCTGTGTAACCCTGAGCAAGTTACTTACTTGAGCCTGAGTTTCCTCCTCTGTAATCTGCACTATACCAGTGTTGTGAGGATAAAATGGGATGCTTGAAAACTTTTTTGTCCCAGTACCTGGCACATAGTAACTCAATACATGTAGCTGTAATTATTATTTAATAATCGATATGTTGTTCTGTGCGGCGATGGCACATTAAGGGGCAACTTTGGTGATACAATCTGCCGTCTTGGAGTAAATTCCGCTCTAGCACTCACTAGCAGTATGACGAGCACATCACGCTCTAACCTCGCTGGCCTGTTTTCTAAGCTGTAATGTGGCCAGAATAAAATCCAACTCTAAAGGTTTGCTGAAGCTTAAATGTGAGATACTCATAATACACAATTCTCTTCTTTCCTCCCAGTATAATGGCGAGGACCTCCAATAACCCATCAAACAAACCCATTAAACAGTAACCCCAGGAAACCAGAGGGACCGAGCCAGGACGACGCGGGCGAGTTAGCTATGGCCGGTGCGCCGCGTGTCGAAAGGGAAACTGTCACGGAGTGCTAGGCGATCGCTCAGCTCCCCAAAACCGCTCCCGGACACTTGGCTCCGGACACGGACCCGGGGAGAGGCCGCAGCACCAAGGCGGTCGCCCAGGCAACCCCGCCTTCCGGTTCGTTGTGTTCCCCGCATCCGCTTCCGGTTTTGGCGTTGAGCGACATCGCCCGGCGACCGGAAGCGGGTTTCCGGGCAAGGCCGTCCGCGGGTTGCGGTCCCGGTTGGAGGGAGGTGGTGGAGGGAGGTGGAGGCGGGGGGGTCACGGATCCTGGCCTCGGCGTCACCATTTGCACCCGGGGCTCGTCGCCGCCATGGAGGGCGGAGGGCGGCCCTCGCTGGGCCAGTTCATCCTCCTGGGCACCAGCTCTGTCGTCACCGCCGTCCTGTACTCCGTGTACCGGCAGAAGGCCCAGGTCTCCCAAGAGCTCAAGGTCAGTGTTGGAGTCATCAGCCGGGTCATCTCTGCCCGGGTCCTGGGGAGCCCGCGATTCACCTTGGCCGCTCCACGGTCTGAAACTGTGGAGGAAAAACAGTCTCTGAAACGTCGTCACTCAGCCAGTAAATAAATGGAGAAGCTAGGATCAGAATTCCGGCTGCTCTGCCCCTTTTCTCCCAAGTCCCTGTCCTTACTCACAGTGAATCTTGACTTCATTACTTTGTTCAAAAAATATTTATTGATCACCTGCTTTGTGCCAGGTAGTGAGTAGAACAGATAGAAGTCCCTGCCCTCTTGGAGATTCCAATCTAGTACGACTAGACAGGATAAACGCACAAATTAGTTGGGATGACAGATGGTGAGAAATGCTTTAGAGTAAGGCAGGGAAGAGAGGAAACGGAATGCTGGAGAAAGGGCGGTTTGATATTTTAAATGAGGTGACATTTGAGCAGAGCCCAGGAGGAGATGAGGAGAGTTCTGCAGATACTTAGGGGAAGAGCATTTCAGATGGAGGGAACAGCAAGTGCAGAGACCCATTTACTTAACCGCTCAGCTTCTTCTTCTACAAACTTCCTTTTTATATTATAGTTATTTTTAAAATAACACTCTCTTTTTTGAACCACACTTTACAGTTTACACATTTCTGTCTTGATTTTACTTTCTCTTTGCAATAATTTTTTGAGGTAGGTAAAATGACAACTAGCCCCAGATTCAGAAAAATCTCAATTTCCTGTTTTACAGCTAGTCAGCTTGGAACTGAAACGGGTCTTTCGAATCCTAGGGTAGGATTTTTTCTGGTGGTCCACATTGCCTTATTGTGAATGTCTGGTCCATAGAAATGGACCTCTTTAGAACAAGAGACAGCGTCTTATCTTTCCTCTTTCCTTCTGGGTTCTAACTCAGCTTGACAAGCGGTAGATGCTCAGTAAATGTTTTTGGGTTCATTTTGGCAGAAATTTCACAATACAACAGCTAAGGGCCTAATTTTACATTTATATGAAAGATGGATCCCTAAACCTAACTTCATTATCTCATTGTTTTTAGTAAGGGTTTAGAAGCCAATGTGTGAAGTCTCTGCTATGAAGGGAGTTGGAATCTGGAAAGAAGCGGGTTATGAGGCAGTTGGTTTTGTTGTGCAATGGCTTCTAGTGAGATTCCAGCCACACTGTTATTCACCTAATTAAATAATCCTCTAAGTGTAACTGATACTCCACTTTCTGACTCCAAAACCAGTTTGGCTTCAAGTTGGCTGTTCCTGGGATTCTCTAAGCCGTGAACTCTTGAAGTCCCATCTTTGGGTGACTTTAATAGCTTTGCCAATTAGTTCCTAAATGAGGATGAAATAGCCCCCTCCTGGAAAAAGAGTTGAGATTCCTAATATTTTAGATTCTGTTTTCTTGATCAGATAACAGAACTTCCAGAGTAGGGTTTGTATCTTATCCTGTGTATCTTGCATAGTGATGGGAATGCATATTTTTTGAATGCCTATGTGCCAGCCCTCTGCTCGATTCTTTCACACCTTAAAGTTCATTTGATCCACATAAAAATCCTCTTAGATTGCATTTCCCCATCTCTTATAGTTTTCGAAACTGAGACTCAGATAAATTAAATTGCCCAAAGTCACAATGGATGCATTGAAGCTTGGTTCAACTCCAGGTCTTTCTGTTCATATTCTCTCTCTCTCCCCTTTTAAAAATTCAAATTGGCCTTCCTGTGATGTGTGACTAGCTGTGTGACTTTGGGCAAATCATTTCACCTCTCTGAGCCTCAGTTTCCTTATCTGTAATTGGTGACAATAATGTCAACCGTATGGAGATGGTATGAGCATTAAATGGGTTTATGCATTTAAAGTGCTTAGCACATTGCCTGGTACATAGCATATCTAAGTGCTTATTTATTCATTAATTTATTCCTCAAATATGTATTGAATGCTCACTGTGTGTCAGGCATTGTTCTTAGCACTAAGGGGGGACAGCAGTTAACAAGATAAGTCCTCCTATAATTTCATAGGCCAGTGGAGGGAGACAGAAAATAAATGAGTAAATTGTGTTAGTTGTTATCGCTGTTATTTTTAATATCTTTGCAGTTTAAGTGATTAAGAAATTTTGATTGACTTTGTTCCTGTCATTTACTGTGTAGCAGTAGCTTAAACTCAGAGTGACATTAATGTGTCCAGCTCTTTAGAGGTTACTGAATCTGGCATCCTTAAGGTTTGTTGATGGGAATACCCTCAAAGCAGAGGTGATCCTTTGCACAGTGCCTGGCACATAGATGCTTAGGAGACGATTGTTGGCTTTATTATTTTTCTCTTATTTTTGACACAGCAGTAACAGGCTTGCTTGGTTTCCCAAGTGCAGCAGGTTGGAAACTGAGTTGGAAAGGAAGAGAACCAGGGATGGTTAGAGGAAGACAGCAGCAGAAGTAACTGTGCTCCCTGGTTATGAGAGGGAAGAAAGACAAATTACAAAGTAGAACAGCGTTTGGCGCCAGTGAACACTCGCCCTATTAAGGCAAAGGCCCTCCTTTCTTATACAGTGCAGAGCATTGATTCATAAAGGTGTGGTGATGGTAGCGCCTACCATTTCTTCCACTCCTGCCATGTACTAGGCAATGATTTAGGCGCTTTATACCTGAAACCTTTGGACCATAACTCTGTGTCGTCAAGAAGAAATTGAATGATGTTCAGTCTACACTATCTATGCAAATTGACCAGTGCCTTTTATATTTTCATTGAAAAGTGCCAACATTAAAAGGAGCATAGGTTTTGGTTAACTGGAAAAAGAATGTATGGGGTCATGCCATTCTTCAGTGATGGAAGAGGGCAGAGGCACTGCCACCACGCCTGTTTATGTGTTAAACTCCTGGGACAAAGCCTTGGGATCTGATTCTCTGCATTCTGCTTCCTGCCCAATTTCCTCATGCTCGCAACATGAAAAAAGTAAAGAGTCTTTTTCTTTCCTTGCCCTTGAATTTGATTGAGCATGTTGGTATTCACTGATCAATTTAATATGTTTATTGCATTTAGGGAGCTAAAAAGATCCACTTGGGTGAAGATTTAAAGAGTATTCTTTCAGAAGCTCCGGGAAAGTGTGTGCCTTACGCTGTTATTGAAGGTATGTTTGTTTATTTGTAATGGAAAACAACTTCCTTTTTCAAAACAGTGATAAAGATCATCTTGGCTAACATTAAGTGTGTTTTGCGGTGTTGGGGCCATGGTTCAGAAAATACTTTGGGGGCCGGGCGCGGTGGCTCACGCCTGTAATCCTAGCACCCTGGGAGGCCGAGGCAGGTGGGTCGTTTGAGCTCAGGAGTTTGAGACCAGCCTGAGCAAGAGCGAGACCCCGTCTCTACCACAAATAGAAAGAAATTAACTGGACAGCTAAAAATTATAGAAAAAATTAGCCGGGCATGGTGGCACATGCCTGTAGTCCTAGCTACTTGGGAGGCTGAAGCAGTAGGATTGCTTGAGCCCAGGAGTTTGGGTTGCTGTGAGCTAGGCTGACGCCACGGCACTCTAGCCCAGGCAACAGAGCCAGACTCTGTCTAAAAAAAAAAAGAAAATACTTTGGGGTCAGAAAGATCTGGGTTATCGCTGTGTGATCTTGGGGAGGGTTACCAAACCTTTCCAAACCTTTCTGAACCACTGTTGCCTCATCTCTAAAATAATACCTACCTTGTGGGGTTGTTAATAAGACTTAAATGATGCAATCCACATAAAGTGCTTTGCAGAGTGCTCCTAAAATGTAGCTTATGGTGATAAAAATGTCATCATTTTGATTAATTAACACAGCTCAGGCTAAAAACACATTTTAAATTACCTTAAACAAGACGGCAGAAAAATTCTTCAGATAAAATAATTTGTGTCCACTTAAGGAGCTGTGCGATCTGTTAAAGAAACACTCAACAGCCAATTTGTGGAAAACTGCAAGGGGGTAATTCAGCGGCTGACACTTCAGGAGCACAAGATGGTGTGGAACCGAACAACCCACCTCTGGTATGTATCCTTTCTCCACTGGCCAAAACCCTGTCTGTTCAAATGCTGGGGTCCTCGATGGTTTTGCCATGTCTTCGGCTTCTCCTGAAAGGAGTTGAAGATGAGTCTCTTTTTTTTAATTTTTTTTTTGAGACAGAGTCTCACTCTGTTGCCCTGGCTAGAGTGAGTGCCATGACATCATCCTAGCTCACAGCAACCTCAAACTCCTGGGCTCAAGTGATCCTCCTGCCTCAGCCTCCCAAGTAGCTGGGACTACAGGCATGCGCCACCATGCCCGGCTAATTTTTTCTATGTATTTTTAGTTGTCCGATTAATTTCTTTCTATTTTTAGTAGAGACGGAGTCTCGCTCTTGCTCAGGCTGGTTTCGAACTCCTGAGCTCAAACAATCCACCCGCCTCGGCCTTCCAGAGTGCTAGGATTATAGGTGGAAGATGAGTCTCTTAATGCTGACAATGTTCTTGTGTGTGGTCTGTGGACTTCCTACATCAGAATCACTAGGCATCTTGTTGAAGTGCAGATTTCTGGGCTTGCTTCCAGACACACAAAAACCAGAATTTCCACGACAGGGGACTTGGACTCTGTTGATTGATATGCACACTGAAGTTTGGGAACCACTGATTTATAGATTAATGATTTCAGTATTTGTTAAAATAATTTTGTGCCATTAGATGGAAGTATCATTTTTCCAGTTGATCCTAGTGGGTTTTGTTTTAGGTGTTTATTTTACAGTGGCAAAGGGAAATAAATGGTCTAGGCCCCTGTGATGGTATTCATTGCCCACTGGTATTGCATGAGGACCCAAAAAATGAGCCTCCTCATTATGAGGTACTTGGATAATAGTGATTTCCATTGTCTTCTTCCAGTTACTTCAGACTTTATCCTGTCCTCTTGGCATTTAGGTGATCTCCCTCCCTGCCTGGACGTTTGATGTTTGCTACTGTTTGTTTTATCTTCATTTTGCTTATTCTTTTAGGAATGATTATTCCAAGATCATTCACCAGAGAACCAACACGGTGCCCTTCGACCTCGTGCCCCATGAGGATGGCGCGGACGTGGCTGTGCGCGTGCTGAAGCCCCTGGACTCAGTGGATCTGGGCCTAGAGACTGTGTATGAGAAGTTCCACCCCTCGATCCAGTCCTTCACCGATGTCATCGGCCACTACATCAGTGGTGAGCGGCCCAAAGGCATCCAGGAGACCGAGGAGATGCTGAAGGTTGGGGCCACCCTCACGGGGGTCGGCGAGCTGGTCCTGGACAACAACTCCGTCCGCCTGCAGCCGCCCAAGCAGGGCATGCAGTACTATCTGAGCAGCCAGGACTTCGACAGCCTGCTGCAGAGGCAGGAGTCGAGCGTCAGACTCTGGAAGGTCCTGGCGCTGGTTTTTGGCTTTGCCACATGTGCTACCCTCTTCTTCATCCTCCGGAAGCAGTATCTGCTACGGCAGGAGCGGCTGCGCCTCAAGCAGATGCAGGAGGAGTTCCAGGAGCACGAGGCCCAGCTGCTGAGCCGAGCCAAGCCTGAGGACAGGGAGAGTCTGAAGAGCGCCTGTGTCGTGTGTCTGAGCAGCTTCAAGTCCTGCGTCTTTCTGGAGTGTGGGCACGTCTGTTCCTGCAGCGAGTGCTACCGTGCCTTGCCAGAGCCCAAGAGGTGCCCCATCTGCAGACAGGCGATCACCCGGGTGATCCCCCTGTACAACAGCTAACGGGTGTGAAGCTGCACAGTTGCACGTGGAAGCAGCCCCCTCCTTTTTCGGGGATTTTTATCTCAAGGCCTTTGGACGAGCAGTGGTGGGGGTAGCTGTTCCCTCCAGGTGAGACTGAGGGAGGGGGAGGGTGGAGACTCTCCAGACCCGCACCTCCCCCAGCAGGATGTTGCCTTTCCAACCAGAGAGGGGACCTCGTCCATACAGGGCGTGAGAGTCAAAGCCCCACCCTGGGAGGGTGCCGGAGCACGGCGTCTCTTCCCAGGACCGGATGAGTGTGTGTGTGGCTGAACACACCTCATCGCTTAAGCACCAAAGCCAGTGATGATCAGCTCTTCTGTTCTGTGTCTTCTGGTCCTTTCTGGTGAATTGTTGATTGCGGTGGACTTGGGGGAAGACTCAGCTGGAGGGGAGGAAAGGCCGGGCCCTGAGACAACGGACGCCTCCCAGAGCTGCCTCTGAAGGGACCCTGTGCAGCTTTCTTCCTTTTGCTCACACTCTGGGAAAAGGTCTTTCTTTAAAATTGTCAGGCTGGACAGGTCACTTGTGTCCCTTACCTGCTTGCCTCCTAAACGTGTGCACATGTGTGTGGAGGACAAAAGAAAGTGAAACGAGCACACCTGCCTCTGCCCAAATGAATGGGACCCCGGCAGCAGCACGAAGGGAGGTCACTTGCGGGCAGTTGGTCAGGAAGCCCCCCTGGTGTTGCCACTTAGCCAGGGAGGCCCACGGGCCCTGATTTAGAACTCCTGCAGCTTGGGAGGGCCGAGGGGTGGCTCTCATTGTTCCTGAGGGAGGATAAGCCGCAGAGGCCCCATCACCGTGGGAAGCAGCGTGGACACCACTCTCCTGGCCTCCTGGCTTCGCAGCTGCCTTACAAGGCTTTCACCAAGGAAAAGCAGCCGGCACCCTGAGCACCCAGCCTTTCAGGGCTCCCCGCCCGCCCCAACCCATGGCAGCGTTGACGTCCATGGGTGTGACACGTCGCCCTCCCTGTGTTGCCGTTCTCCCCTCACCTGTCCTTAGCCTGTGAGTGCAGGACATGGGGGGATGTCTTTCCCCACCTCTAAGTAGTCGAGTCATATACACAGCTCTTTTCTAGTTCCCTTCTCTGTCTTTAATCTTCATCCCTGATCCTCCTCTGTGCGGGGACGGAGGGGAGCTCTCAGGGGCTGACACTAATACTATGCAGTGTCTGGTGTGAACAGCACAAATTAAACACATTGCAACCAAGTGTTAGCCTATTGCTTTTTTTTTTTTTTTTTTTTT